GGTTGTCAGCTCGGGTCTGGAAGCCTTCAGGGAAGAGGTGCTTTAGCCAAGAGTGGGTTTCTGCCATGCAGGTGCCTTCTCCAGCTGCTTTGCCATGTCTTTCTTTCCATGCTGCCTCCCTTCCCTTTGCTTCCTCACTACAGTAGGGAATGAAGGTGTGGAAAATCCCATTCCCTTCCTTCCTTTGCTCGTTGCCATCCCACACACATGTCTCTGCCCCACAACCAGGAATTGGTGGGACACCTGGAGGGCCAGCAGCCAAGGAAGGGAGTTTTTCCTCATGCTTTAAATCCCCTTCCCTGTTTTCCCAACATGTGGGAGAGGGACAGACTCTGACACACCACCGGTGCTCTCCTTTCTCCTTTCCTCCACTCAAAAGATCCCCCACCAGCTCAGAGCTGCTCCAGCATCCAGGGAACACACTGACAGCACTTTCCCAGCAATTCCAGGGGAACAGAAAAATCCAGAAAAATTCCTTTTTTTAAAAAAAAAAAAAAAAAGCAAAATAAAATCCTCTTTTAAATCTCTTTTGTGCAGCTGGAGGGAACTAAGAAGTGCAAGTTGTAAGAGGCCTGCCCTGGGTCACCTCTTCTGAGGGTGACCCACGGACGACACTGCCTTTGGATGCCTCGGCCCCGCCACAAGGACTATTTTGGGTGTTTGAGCTCTGTCACCTGCAAAGAACACGCTCCCTTTCTATCCCTGCCTTGCAAACATCACCCTCCCTGTGAGCCAGAGCTGGTCCGAGCTGGGCACAGTGCTCAGCCCTTCGCTCACCTCACAGGCAGGGGATGCTGCGGGTGCCACCCTGCCCACGTCCCAGCTCCAGATGTGTCTGCCAGCCCCCAGTGCTGGGAGAGGATGGAATCCTGATGTATTTGTTCACCTGGCACAAACCTCAGCGCTGCCAGTATTAACTGGCCGGGCCGATTAGTGGCAAGCCATCAGCCAATAAATAAATTGGAGGCATCTCCAGACCTGATTAGCTTGCTAATTAAGCTCAGTTACAGGGAAATCTGCAGTCAATCAGCCCGGCCATTACCAGTTGGATCTGCAGAGCGGGAGCTGTGGATGCTGCATCTCTGGTGGGGAGGAGGAGGAGGAGGAGGGGAGCGTGCTGGGGGTGGGAGGGAAGGTGATTCTGAAATCCGGTTGCCTCAGCAGCAGCCGGGGAGGCTCATCCATCCGGGGTGACGCCCGGCAGCCTTTGGTTGTCCCCACGCTCTCCTGGGCTCCTTTTTGGGGCACCGCCCCGTTCTGTGCCACTTACCAGGCTGTCTGGCAGCACAGTCCCTTGCCAGTCCCCAGACTCCCAAAAACCTGCAGGAGACCTCCAAAGGCAGCCTGTTCAGAGAGGGTAAACACAGGGCTGGGTGGTTGTGTTTTAATTTCTGGCTGGGACAGGCTGCTTCCCCCCCTTTCCCATGGCAACGTGCAGCTTCTCCCTCCCACACCCAGGCAGTGCTCGGGGACCTCACCAGAATGGTGATGGACACCTTCACTCCAGCTCAGAGACCAAGGGCTCTCAGTGGTTTCATTTTGCCTACAAGGTGGATGCAACATCCCCTGCGTGGCCCAAAGCAGAGGTGGGGTTCCAAAACAAGTGTCCAGCCGACACTGGCAGCACTGCAGGATGAGGTGTTTTGGCACTTGGGAACCCCCTCTCTCCCTCCTGCTGCATCTCCCCATCCTGGCAGCTGCCAGTGGGCATCAGGCAGGACGCTTTTCTCTCTGCCTCATCCTCGCTCTGGCAGCTCGAGGCTGCTTGGAATCCCAGCCCCTTGCTTCATTAGATCGAAATTCCTGGCCTTTGATTTCCACTAAGCCTCCCAAATGGTGTGAGTTGCTTGCTGCAGCCCCAAAATGACCGTTTTCTGCTGCAAAAGGCGATCGGGAGTTCTCTTCAGAACAACAAGCAGCCCTTGGTGTCAGCAGCACCAAGAGGCTTGAGCACATCCCAGGCTTGGTGCGTTCCCTGGAAGCCCAACCTCAATCCCTGAGGACCGGGAAGGTGGTTCTGCATCCCTCGAGGCGCATCCCTCCTTCCCCGAGGCACAGCATCACCTCTCTCCTCGAGGTCTCCTCTTCCTCCCTTTGGAAACCCGGGGAGTCTCTCCAGCTTAAAGCCAAACAGACTTGGAAGTCGGGAGCGGGAGACGGGGTGGGGGCAGAGCGCAAATAAAGAAGTGCTAATTGCTGGCACATCAACTGTGGTGGCTGTGACTGCATTTATTGGGCAATTAAGGCTTTACTGGACATTAGGCGAGATCAATGACTGCCTGGTGGGATTCCCAGCCTGCCCTGGGCTGGTGGTTTTCCCGCTGCACATCCAGTGGTTTTGCGGGAGCAGCCAGCTCGGTTTCCCCAGCGCGCCCTCCCGGTGACTCCTGCAGGCTGTGCTCTCCCTTTATCTTTGGATTCAACCATCTTAAAGGTCTTTTCCAACCTAAATGATTCCCCCCCCAGCCGCGTCCTGGGCGTTGCTCAGGTGGGAACTGTGATGCCTCACCAGGGCAAAAACACATTTCCTGCTCTTTCCTGCAAACATCACCGGCCCAAGACCCACCACAGGAACAGAGGGAAAGGGCAGAAGGATGGGCTTGGAAGCAGGTGGTGCTGGGCTTAGAAAAGCTTCGTGGGGATGTCCTGCTCCCCAGCCCAACGTTCTGCTGGGTTTGTCCCCATCAGGGTAGCACAAAGTGTCTGAGCAGCCCCTCTGGACACCACTTCCAGCTCCTGCCACCGAGTCATGGAGTGAAATCTGGGCATGAGTGATGTGCTCCCGAGAAGGTTTCTTGAGCTGGTGCTCCCAGCACCCATCAAAGTTAATCCTTTGCAGGCAAGGGTGGAAATGCACAGCGAGGCCTTGTGGCAGAGCAAGTCTGATCGTTTTACGAATTGCTTTTTCTCATTTAAAAAAAAAAAAAAAAAAAAAAAAGTGAATGTTGGATGCTCCCCCTACTCCCATTATGGGAATCAATAGTTTTCCTTCAAAACCGCTTTCTGACCCCTGTTGCTTTGCCGTAGGATATTTTCTTTTCTTCCGAGGTATCAGTGAATGCCACCAGCTGAGAGCGTTTCAGGGGTACACGGGGGTGGGCTTGGGGTGAGAAACGTGGGCATGAAAGACATCCTTAAATCTGCTCCACCACCCCTCTGCACCAGGATCTTCCAAGAGAAGCCAGATCTTAGGAGGGTTGCTACAGAGGGAGAGCAGCCAGCCATGCCCATCACAGAATCAAAACCCACACCCCTTTAGGAGAGCAAAGGAGGGGAGGGACAGATGATTCCTTAAAAAAAAAAAAAAAAAAAAAAGAGCTCCTACTACAGCTTTACACCCAGGGGGAATCCAAAACAAGTTCTCCCACGTTCCAAGTTCACGTTTCAAACCCAAAGGGGAGCACACAAAGCACCCACCTCCTGCGTTGGTGCCGGTGGGACGCGGGACGGGGTTGAACGGGGTGGGAAAACCTTTCAGGAACAAAGGAACGTGGCTGCTGCTTGACAAAACAGCCACATGACCCCCTCTCCCCCCCCCCCAAAAAAAAAAAAAGTAAAACCCAACATCCACAAGCAGTCCCGTTGTTTTTCATCCCTCATGGTTGCTGCTGCAGCCTCCCTGCAGCACCTGGGAGAACTGAGAAGCAGAAAAAGAAATGGGGAAGTCCCTCCAAACCCCAACCAAATCCCCACGTGACAGGACAGAACTGACAGCACCCTGCAGGTGGGAGACTGGGTGGGACAGGCTGAGGAGTGAACACATTTAGGCTGAGGCACAAGCAGGAGTAAAAGATAAACCCAGAACCCCCAGATCCCACACCGTGGCAGTCCCGCTCTGAGCACGGAGGTGCAAACTCACCCTTCCAACCTTGGCCAGGTCCTCTCTCGTGTGAGATCCTGCTGTTCTGAGGTCCTGTGACACATCTGGGCCATCTCTGTTGGTTTTGGCCGTGCTGCCCTTTGGTGCCATCAGCCCCTGCACAGGGTTGGGTGCCAGGCCAGGAAAAGAGACATCCCCCGTCTGCTGCTTCCCCACTTCCTGCCTGTTTTTATCACATTCCCCCACTTTGGGTCTCTTTCTGAGGGAAAATCCACACTTTTCCCCACCTCTACTTATCCCTCCTAATTTCTCTGTTCCCCATGTGAGGTGGGACAAGTACAGGTGGCCAAACCACAGCACAGGTTGTCTCACTCCACGGTGTCCTTACAGATCTTTAAGTCTCTTTCTCCATGCCAGGGCACATTATTTAACCCCCAGTTGAGTTCCCAGTGTGCTCCAGTGAAAACCCATCACCTCTTGCTTCCCCTCCTCATTCCCACCTTCTGTGTCAGGGCAGCAGTTTGTCTTCTCCTTCTCCTTCTCCTGCTGAGATTCCCGATTCCTCCTCCTCGGGATGTACCTGGGACAAGGCCTCTGCCGCTGTAAATAAATGTCAATCAGCTGCCCATTGTTCAGGGCTTTAAAGGACTTGCTCCGGGGAGCCTAATGGAGAGCCATGATTTCCCCCTTCAAAGAGGTGATTAGAGACCATACCATATCATGACCTTAAAAGATGTTTTATTATTCTTACTTTAAATGATCATTTCAACCAATTTAGCGGATACAGATGTAACCGTTACCGGCCTAATTCCTTGGATCACCTCCAGAGACTCTTAAAGCCAAAGGTGCAACATTTACTACTCTCTCTTCCTTGGGGAGAAGGACTGTTTTTAATGAAAGCTCGCATATTTTTGGCTGGGAGATGTGTCATTCACTTCAGAAGCACTTTCAGAACTCTTAGGTATACACCACTGCGGGGAGGGGGAGAGGGTTTTGACTTATTGCTTTTTAATTTATCAATTTGCACCATTACTGGCTCTTCTGACATCCCAGGTCTGGGATAATCCTTCATCTTTATTACTGGCAGGAGTGACAGGATCTCATCATTAACAGGGGGAGGAAGCAGGGCCAGGGCAGGTGGAGCTCAATAACACGAGGAAGACTCAAGCAAAGAACAAGCTGCGACCAACAAGTTTTCTTGTCTTTATTAGAAAGAGACCTATACAATATAGCAGCCTCTCTCTGCAGTACTTTACAACTTTTTGTTCCTTTTTTTTTGTTATTTTTTTTTAAATTTTATTTTTTTAATTATTCAGAATACTGTACAGCCGACACAAAAAAATCTCAATGTGTTGGAGAGAGAGAGAGAGAAAGGGGAACATAATACAAACTGGCATACTTAATCAAACCCAAATCATAGGAAACAACAAGCAAAGTGAAATGTTTGTCAATCGGTTTAATTACAGTACAAACAATATAAATAAAGCATCATTGAGTCATTGTAAAACAAACTTGCTGAATGAGGTAATATAAAAACAACAACAAAAGACTTTTTTTTTCCTTTTTTTTTTTTAGAATTTTCACACTGTCTCGTCATCATTTGTACATTATTATTTACAGAAACAGAAAACGAAAATAAAACAACAACCCCATACTTGCTCTAAAGCCTGCCGTGTGCTAGGGAACCTCCTGCCCCTACCCCGAGCAGAGGTCTTGGGGGTCCCTACTCACCTGGGCTCCCTTCTCCCCACCCCAACTGGAAAGACAAACATCACAAAGCGGAAAAAACGTGAAAGACTTGGGGGGCTGAATGCAAAATCCAGCCTTTGCAGGCGGTCACAGGTTATTCAAGGGATAAAGGAAAAGAGAACAGTTCACGCGTCCGCTTCCCGAAATAAAGGTGCCCGTTAGACTGAACCTCGAACCACGACCTGGCTGGAACCAGGGGCCAAACTCTGCCTTCAGAGAGGTCAGGACACAGCCTAACTCTGCCAGCTCAGAGCTGTTCTGCCTCAGCCACGGGCAAAGCATTTGGGATGCTCAAACCCCACTGAAGCTGAGAGGTTTAAGGCTGTTTGAGGAGCTGCACAGTCAAGCTCCTGGCAATTCCAATCCAAGTCCAAAGGCAATGCTTGCACAAAACAAGTCCCTGGTGTTTGAGAAGACACTCCTATCCCAAATAACCCTTCAGTCTGTGCACCACCTACGTGTCTACAAGTGAAAGGTGCTCCTGACACTGACATAGTAAAGGAGAGCTGGGCCCAAATGCATCTGGAACCTGGGGAAACTTGGTACTTCCACAGAGCAAAGGGCCGTGTGCTTTCAGAGGGTGGGGATGTCCAATTTCCCCCACGGATCAGCAAAAGGAGCTCAGTGGATTCGACGGAGAATCCAGCTGAATTTCTGGAGACTCAGGAAAAAAATGCTTTGAGGGGATTTCAACAGCATTTCAAAATAACAGAAGGAGGGGGAAAATAAATTACCCTCCCACCATTTCCACTCACTCAGCCCTGTCCCTGCCACAGCCGGAAAGCCAGAGTTTCAAGCAAATTTATACACAGAAAGGGCCTCTGGGCTGCAAGACTTCTGTCCTTTGCAACTTCAGAATCTCCTTCCCCGGCGTTTCCCACCCCCAGTGCTGGCAAGCTGGGGTTTCCCCTCTCAGCCAGGTGGGCCTGCTCCAGTCCTAGCGGCCAAGTTCAAGTTCAGTGTTGCTGTCTGAAGGAGCTGGATTTTTGGAAAACCTCTGAGGCAGGTCTCTGTGTGAGTCCCGAGCTGCACCAAGCCTGTACCTCCCATTCCTGCACCTCTCCAGTTGGTGCCCCCCATCCTGCCCTGCCCTCTTGGGAATGGTTGGTCTGACTCAAACTGGGAAATCTGCCTGCTGGGAAACACCCGGCTGAAAAGCCGGCTCCATCCATGGATGGGATTGATGTGAGCACCACATTCCCACAGTAACCACCAGCAGGATGGAGAGCACATCCAGGCAAACACCCACCCTCTAAGTGCAAAGCACGTGTGGTTAGTGATAGACTGCCTTCACCTTAGGGCTCAGAACACCTCAAACTGCACTTCATCCACTCAACTCAGTGCCTGCCTTTGGGACCCAGTCTGGCCAAAAAACAACCCCCTTCAGCACCAAAACCCTTCCTTGGTCCTGCATGAGCTCGAGGTTTACCTTCAGCACAGACCAGGCTTTGTTTGAGGGGTTTTACACCCTGCAATTCGTGAGGACCAGGGAAGTGTTTCCATCTTCCTCAGTTGTCAGAAACAGCAACGAACCCACACCGATTGGTCCTGGGAAACGGGGCGTACACAGAAGAGCTGATGGTGCACTCACTGCCAGCAAGCAACGTGGCCGTCCCCCAGCGCATGCCATGAGACCCCTGAAAGCATCCCCCACCCGCCCTCCCTTCACATTTTGTACAGAACACACAGGAAAAAAAAAAATCACCAGCTCTGAAGCACTGCAGGAACAGTCGATCCTTCCTACTGGAAGCTAAACACGCACCCAGGAGTTCAGGGCCAAAGGGAAGGCTGGAGCTCTCCCTGCCAACAGAACCGACTGCCACCGCTGGGATGTGCCCCAGGGACCTGGGAGGTGGGCACACATGCAGAGGTGAAGAGGTTGAAACTGCTGAAATGCACAGAAACATTTTTATTTTATCCATCCACAAGAAAAATTCCCACCCCCCCAAAAAAAAAACATTCCAGGAACAGTGGTAAATGATGGGAGTCAATTCACCCACATAACTGCTGTCACCCTGAAATGAAACAACGGGGCCCAGGTGACCAGAAACATGCTTGGTGATTTGGGGTTGAAGACGGCTCTAAAAGAACCCCCAAAACAACCTTTTACTTTCAAAGATCATGCAATTCCCCTCTCAAAACATGAACTATTCACAGCTCCCAAAAATCCCAGCTGAAACCCTCTGAACCTCCCTTTAAAGTGTGAGACAGATTCAGTCAACTCAAGGTAAACTGTCCTAAGATGAGACCACCTGATACTTACTCCAAAAAATGGCCCATGCCAAACAACAAAGCAAAACCTAGAGCATCCTAAATCAACAAATCCACCCACCTACAACTTGGGAAGTTTTGCTCTATGATCTCTAATATTTTTCCAAACAGGAGATTGTTTTCTAATAAAACCATTCAAACCAACCTTCTTTTTGGCAGCTTACAATTTCAGAACTCAAAACTCTTAATTTAGGGTGGTTTAGTGTTTCTCTACCTTGGAAAGAACTTTAATCTGGAGTGTCTTTATTTTCCCCTACTGTGCCACAAACACAAGAACATCCAGAAACGGGGTTTTCTACGCAACAAATTTTACCCACAAATCACCAAGAAAGGAAGATGTGGAACTGAGGATCCAAGACCAACAGCCAGAGATCCCACTCGGGAATCGCTGTAGCTGCCTCTGGAAGGGGGGAGGAAGATGCTTGGCCGTGAGATGAGGATGGACAAGCTGTCCCCTGCCCAGCCAAGCTGTCCCAGGTTTGGTCCCTGGTGCTCCCCTCCTTTCCCTTGAGTCCCTCCACCGACAAGGACCATTTCATCAGACCATTAAATGACCACTTCATCAGTGACCAACTAATAAAACCCAATAACCATCCCTGTTAAGGTGCAAAGGCGGCTCCCCGAGACATTTGGAAAGGGCCCCTTCGGGACCCCCTTGTGAAATCTGTGCTTGTCTCCACTATTACTACTTTACACTAGAAACTACAAATTACTTCATTTTTCCTGATCTCCATACAAATATAAAAGATGAAGCTATTCCAACCCCATATAATCTAATTATACTACATTACAGTGCTGGAGATCATTTCTAAGCCCACATCTGCATTCCCACCTCTACTCCTCTCCCTACGTGACTCAGCTTCCTCTGGCCGAGGGAAATCTCCAAGTGCAGCTAAAGCTTTTTTTCTTCTTGCACTAAAACACACATAATTTAGGGAAACGGGGACAAGACAGCAAATTAAACAATATTAATGTTTACATGGCTATTATACACTGTGCCCAAATGCTTGAAAATCCTCTCTCACCTTCCAGGAGCTCACGTGGCTTTCCAAGCAGCACCTAGTTCACAACCAGGTTTTTTCTTTAATGCCCCCTCTTACCAATAAAATTAGAAATCTGGTAATGGGAGCCCTTGGCCAAATCTCTGCACTGGCAGGAACCTGGCTGGATTTTATTATTTCTTCATAAGGAGTGAGGAGAAGTGAATCCTCCTCAGCAATATCCGGGTTCAGGTGCCAGGTATGACACATCTGACTCATCCCCACCGTTGGACAGCAAATTAGCTAAAAATAGAAGGAAGGTGCTGATGGTGACAGGAACACGCTTCTAGTGTTTTAGCTGTTGTGGATAAAGTGCAGAGGAAAGAGGATTTAAAGGTATCTGGGGTGCTGGGAAGGTTAAATGGGGGATGTAATGAACACCACACTGAAAACAGCTTCAGCTGACAGGTTTCTGCTGGGGTTTCTGAAGGACTGGGTGGCAATTTGGGTGCAATTTGTTCATGACACGCTCAAAGGGTGTGAACAGCCTGGCAAGCGGGTTCCAGAAAAGCAGTGAGGGGCTAAAGGTGAGATAAGGAGCAGAAAGGGGCTGGATTAACAGGAGGAATGGCAATTCCTGCAGGCCCCCCAAGTGCTGCACATACTGCCTGATTCCACACCTGGATGGCCCCGACAACACCCTCTGCAAAGTGCAAACACACTCCTGTACAGCACACGGAGCTCCCAGAGCCAAGGCCCACTGGGATCTGGCCAAGGAGATCCTCCATCCTTGCTCTCAGCTCCAGTGGGAAGGGCTTTCCTCTCCTCTCCCCCTCCTTGCCAGGTGTCCCACTAGCTCAGGAGGTGCCACAGCACTCCTGCCAGCCTTCCACCCAACCCTATTTGAACGGGGGACGCTGTGCCAACACCCCGTGGGGCACAGACCCTCGCCTGTCCTCCCGTGGTGGGGCATCACCAGCTGCAGTGGCAGGAAAGGTGTCTCCTGACCTGGAGAGACAGTGCTGGGTGATCTCACCCCGCTGGTCCCTTCCAGCTCAGGATATTCTAGGATTTCCTGCTGCCCCTGCATCCACCAGCAGGAATCCCCCCTGCAGACCCCCACGTGTTTGGGGAAGCCATCAAGTATTCCTGCACAGCTCCAACATAGCTACACTTACACCTCCAAGGGAAAAACACCTTTAGGTTAAAAACAACTGTGCTACCGCTCAATTAAAATGTTAGTGGGCTAGCCTGGATATCTGGTTTTTCCTGGAATACACTGGAATTTCCTTTCTTAAAAGCATTCTGTGCTTTTTCAAGGGTCGCCTTCAGAAAATTTTTACGAAAGGAGCACGTAATTGATATACCCGAAATCTGCATGGCAGCCTGGTTGCCCTTGTTTCCCCAAACATCACTCTCAGCTTTATAAGAGGGAGGTGGCCCAAAGAGAGCATTAAATTATGTACAGAAAATAACTGCAGTTCAGAAAAAAACCCAGCACTGAAATGGAACACGCACTGAGAACTCGACGGCGGCAGATCCGCCTTCCGTGGGTTTGAAACGCTGGACTCGGTTTTCGGGATACAAATGCCCTTGATGCTCCCAGGGGAACAGCAGGCAGCTCTAGCACCTCTGGGATCGCCATTCCCGAATCCCTGCTGGGTTCCCCCTAGGGATGTAAAGCTCGTGAGCACCAAGACACGGTGGCTTCACAGCACCCCCGTCAGCTGCGCGTTGGGCGGGTGGTCCCGTCACCAGAGGGCCACCCCTAAGTACCAAAGATCAGGGAGCTGCTCAGGAATGATGGAGAAACAGCAATTACAACAGACACCTTTCCTTAATTAAAAAAAAAAAAAAATCAAAAAAGAATATTTAAAATTATCCCAGCCTGAAGGGACTCACTCAGCGGTGTCCTGGCTCTGCCTCAGCCAGCCTGGGCCAGTAACAAAGTACAAAAGGAGGACACCTCCAAAAAGGAAAAGCTGGTCAATATTCCTGTGCTTCCAACCTTGAGGCTTGTTTTTCTACCACAATTTAATAATTTACATCAAATCCACAATTTTCTGATTTTTTTTTTCTCCTTAAGACAACCAGATCACGTGGTTTTTTTTTTTTTTTTTTTTTTTCCTTCACATTTTGTCCACACGGAGTTTATTTGGCAATTGCCACGCTCCTCCCATTGTATGTGCTGAGTGAAATCCAGAGCCCCAAAGAAGAGCAGCACCCAAGGCTTGGGAAAGACATCCGAGCAGGTAGATTTGCAAATTACTGTGCTGCGTGCACCCCACTGCCTTCACATAACTGCTCCTTTGCCACAGAATTCAGTTGAGTTTTCAACTTTCCCCGTGATATACCCTTCCCCTCATCTTCACACTGCCATATGCCACTTAAAAAACCAAAAAAAACCCAAAAACAAAACAGGAGAAGCTGAGATCTGCCTGGTAAGACCAATAATAATCCAGTCCAGCATTAAAACCTGGGACTCGAATGAACTGTCCGGGCTACTTTCACAAGCCGTTTTTCTCCCCAAAAGCAGCCAGGTTGGGAGTGGAGCTCAGCCGTGCCCTGCTGAAGGCTATCAGTTCTGAGCTTAATCAAACCTGATCTTCCCCCAGCCACAGCAGGGCTTTTTGTCTTGGCTTGTGAAAGCTTCCTGACTTCTGGACTAAAAATATATATTTACAGTGCTAAGAAACAGCCTCTTCTTCTTTTCTACAAGGTCTCACGCACTTTTTTTTTTATTTTCCATGCCAAGTGTGCCCTGATCTCCTCCTGATATGTTCCTCACAGGCTTTGGAAAGGAGAGTTCTCTGCTGGGAATATTACTGATGTACAATGACCTGTGGCCCACAGATCCTAACTAGTTGCACATTATTTAGTTCACATCCATTACAGTTTATAAATTAACAGAGATGTCATTTTCTGTACAAAAAGAATCCAATGTATATTTATGTTGTTTTGGTTTTTTTTAAATTCAAATAGATTTTACACACATAGAATCTAGAGACACAATACAAAAATCTGTATAAGTTAGGCAATGCATCACAGGAGTGACCAAAAACTCAACACGATTTACCTTGGCAAAATGACAGAACCTATTTCTGCTGGCTGAGAAAAAAAAAAAATATTAGGCTTTAATGCGTTTATTAATTTCACTAAATGTACTCGAAATGTTTTTTTCCATAGCGCTATTCATTATTCCTTTTTTGTGTTTCGGAGTTACTCTTATTTATTTTTTCCATTTTGTTTTTACACCAAGGAGACTGCAGTCAAATAACACTCAGCAACTCATTTCCTCTCTTTGGACTGAAAAATTAAACAGATACTAAATTATGACAGTGAATTTAGAAAGGAGGGCTCCAAGGGCTTGAAAGAACATGTCTGAGATAATATGATGCTTCTAAGAATATTGCAATCACATCCAAGCAATCACCGAAGCGTGCCATGTAACTACCTCCTCAGCTAATATGCTTTTTTCTCCGTGATGACTAATCATGTTCTATTAAACAGCGGTAATGCTGGAAGAACTCAACTATACAAGTGTAATGAAGCCAGTATTCTCCCCGGACAGATTAGCTACAACTGATTTGACACATACCATCATAGGAGCTTCAAACCTGACAAACTCTGTGCTTGCTTCTGATTTATGCCGTCAAGCTCTTCAGAGAAGAGAATGGAATCCAGGCGCGGCGCTCGGCAGAGGTGAAATGTTCTGATGTGCTTAACTGTCAGTCACGGAAAGTCACCGGGCTTCTCCTTCCTTCCTTCCTTCCTTCCTTCCTTCCTCCTCCTCCTCCTCTCGCTCGCCTCCCCCTCCGCCCTTCCCTCACGCCGGCAGGCCGCGTGTCCCCGCGCCGGGGCGGCCGCGTGTCCCGCTCAACCCACGCGCCCTCGCCCGCTCGTCCGTCCCCATCCTTCCCGGAGCTGTCACTGAAACAACAACGGCCTCCCCGGCAGCCCCTCGGGCTCCTCCTCATCCCCCTCGCGCCTTCTGGATGGGACGGGGCGTTGGAGGGGAGGGGAGCGTGCGCCGAAAGGGGAAAAGGGCAAAGGAGAGTTTACCAGACTCGCAGAGCGGAGCCGTGATGGGGATGGAGGGATGCGAGGCTGCGGATGGTAACTCGGCGAACTGCGCACGAGGGGAGGCTCCTCAGATGATGGTGGGCATCCTGCCGCCGCTGTTGTTGCGGTTGTTGTTCTTCCTGGACAGGTTGGGGGTGGCCATGAGGACGAAGCGCTCGTCGGGGCAGCCGTACTGCAGGAGCACGTCGATGCACTCCTGGCTGGAGGCCTGGCGGGCGTAGGCCAGCGCCGTGTTCCCGTGGGCGTCGCGCGCCATCACGTCCACGCCGTACTGCGGGGAGGACACGGGGGCACAGTTGGAAGCTGCGGCGCCAATGGAGCGGTGAAACAGCAAGGGGCAGGTTTGGGAGGGATGGATTCGGGTTTTGGGGAGGATGGGGACAGGGAGGAGAGGGAGCGGGCAGGATGCTAGCCCGACAGCGTGGGCACGGCAGCACTGAGACAGATACAAAAAGGTGGCTACGGGAAGGGGGTCTCACCCGTGAAACAAAATCCCCGTCCCAGAGGTATTCCCAACTAAGGGAATCTCTCCTTCCTCATTTCCTATGCTCTCCTTCCCTTTCCATCGAGGAGCAGACAGTCACAAACACACTCTATCACCCTGGCGCTGCCCTTGAGAGCGTGCAGCGAGGGACGCCCCGCGCCAGCACATCCTCCTTGCGAAGCCCCGAGGGGCAGGCGAGGGGTTGTCCTGCTGATGGACACGGCATCCAAAGCCCACCCTTGCCCACCAGCACTCACCCAGATGAGGAGCTGCACCAACACCACGTTCCCTTTCCGGCAGGCCAGGTGCAGGGCCGTGCGCCCGTCGCCGTCTCCGCAGGTCTCGTTCACCTCCTCCCGGGTGCCGTGGGCCAGCAGCAGGATGACCGTCCGCAGGTCCTCCTCCGCCGTGGCCCTCAGGAGATGCTGGCCCAGAGAAAGCTCCAGGCACTGCAGCGGGGCAAGGAAGAGCTTCTGCTCGTACTTCGCACGTATCCAGAGCTCCTTTTCTTCCCTAGGGAAGGAGACAGGTCACTCTCAGCTGGCGCTGCAGTGAACGGTGCTTAACCAACAAGGAGGTTATTTCCCCCTGCGAGTTTTTGGCAAGAAAGCCCTCACAGAAGTGGCTCACCCATACCTTGTGTTTGCAGCAGCAATTTGTGTTGCCCACCTTAGTTCCACTGAGCCGTGTTACTGCAGTGCCCAAGATCCTCCTGGATGGACTCTGTGCCCATGGGGTTGTGAGATCACAACAGACAGGAGGTTTTAAAAAACCCTGGGCTGTCAAGAGCTCAGTGCAAGAGCCCCTCACTGTCACAAAGACCAAAGACACAACAGACAGCCTGGTTCCACCCTAAGTTTGGGCTGGAAAAATACATCGCACAAAACACACCCAATTTCTGTATCTCAGAGCAGAAGTAACCAAACAGGGGTGGCTTTGCCCTTCTCCAAGTTCAGTAATGTTTCCAAAGGCATATGGATGGTTCCTCTGTTTGTTTTTCCAAAATTCAAACCACCAAACCAATCCTTTGAAGCGCCTTTGCCTCCTGATATATCAAAGAACTATCAAAAGCCTTCTGGGTGCTCTTCAGTTACAGGAGAACAAGGACTACAAACAAGTCCCTCCGTGTGCCATTAAAAAAAATTAGCATACAATTAAAGGATGTGAGAGATCCAGCCCCAGACAAAGTCCCATTTAGAGGTACCTCAGGTAATCGGTTCAGCCTGTGAAAGCCATACCCATCACCTGAGCCAGGACCGCGGTCCCGGTGACAGATTCTCTCCTCCGGAGTACAAAAGGCCAAGCTCTGTTTACGCCTTTCAGCCGTGTTTACACTGCTCCCAGTAATCTAGTGTCAGGTTAGCCCTAATCTGTTTTTAAATACTTATGTAAACAGCTCCTTCCACCAGCAAATCTGGATTAGTTTTGCATCATTTCCTGGGACATGTGGAGTGACCTTGCTTTGACCTGCCTGGATGCTTTCAGGCACAGCTTCCCAAAGCTTGTGCTTCCCTACCCCGACCACGATTTACCCTAGAACAGGTCCAGGCCTTCTATTCAGAGCAAAAGTGCAAACAGAAAATTAACACAGAGAGTGCTTCTTTTACATCAAACCTCTGAATGACTCCTGCGAGCTAAAAGAAACACCCAACCCCCTCCCCCCCCCCAACTCATTTGGGGAGCTGCAAATTAACCTTTGATGGCAGGATCTGATAACCAGAGTATCATTGCTGGTATTCCAGATGGAGAGGAGGAAGAAAAGGAGTTCTGTTATCAGGATCTTTAATTCATGGGTTTCCTATTTGTACTTTTTTTAAGGTAAAAACACAAACCAGAGCTAGTGCCATAAAAAGGAAAAAGTAACAGGCAATTATCTACAATAAAATGGGCATTCTTGCAACAGTTCTACTTCCAGCATCCACCTAGATTATCTTCAGGTATGTTTAGCAAATATCTCATATGATTTTTGACACACACAGAGGTATTGACAGCATAACCAATACATCCACACCGTGTTTAAAACGTGCCACATTGGAAAGTGAAGTGATTCAACCTGTGCTGTTCACCCACAGCAGCTCACATCAGGGCTTTGGGCATTTATTTCTCACGTCCACACATCCTGAAGGCAAAATATACCTCAAACACCTACTCAGCGAATTTTTTCAGCCAAGAGTCTGCAAATGAATCTCCTTGTGCCCCAGACCATCTTTTCAGTGACGGGAAGTTTTGGCTCTAAAGGGTATTTTAGGGTACTTTAGTGACATGGGGCTACACTCACCTACAAATCCAACCTTTGCTCGTGCTTATTTCACCTCACTCCAGTTTCCCTTCTCAGAAAACCTGCCTGATTTTTCTTGACCACACGGGGCACCAGAAAGCTCCATTTGTTCAGGCCCAATTCCACCTTTGGGGTCACATCAAGGGTTGTGGTGGGGACACAGCAAACACCACAAAGCAAGATAAAGGTGCTTCCAAAGCCTCAGGCATTTGGGGCAGCGTTTGACATCAGCTCCTGAGCGAGATCTTATTCAACAGTACGAAGTGGGCACAAGAAAGACACAGCATTTGGATTTTAGGGTAGAAAACTAAACCTTTTCAGAGGCAGCAGGAGAAGCCCAGGCCTCATGGACAGCCAAAACACAGAGGGGCTGTTTTCCAGTGAGCATCTAGAAAGCCAATGCCCACAAACATCCTCCCTCCATCTCTGGCACACACCATTTAATTTGGATGGGAGGTCCTGGGGACTTTCCTGGGAGACAGCTGCAGCCCCGCCGCTGGCATTCATCTCCCAAATCCTGACAACAAGGCATAAATACTGTAATTGTTGCTCTGATGCCCCAATTTCACTTCTGGGATCCACAGCTTGTCTTGGTCGAGGTTTCATTTCCCCCAAGGAAGGCCAGTCCAAGAGCAGAGTTGTCAGCAGTAGATCACTTAACCTCATTGCAGCTCCCTGGAGGACCACTGCTCACATCCCCTCTTAGTTAATGAGCTAAAAAATGAATTATTGGAGCGGTCAGCAATAAGCAGGAAGAGGAGGCACAGTGTTTCATTTCAGCCAGCACTGACATACCTTTAAATAAATCAACTGAATAAAGAGTACGAGGAAGCGTGAGGAAGAGCAGCTCATCAGGAGGAAGACACCAGAGCAATCCCTAAAAATAAAGGCTGGTAAACATTTCCCTCGTTTTCTTCCCTTAGCTGCAATCCTGGAAACTCCAGACCACCCCCTCAATACCAGAGATTTTTAGCTGCAGTTGCCAAAGCTACAAAACAAGACTCTGAGTGAACTTTTAACAGCAGAGTCCCTTTCCCCAGGACCAAATGAAAGCCACCGTGCTGGAGAGGCAACATCTCCACGCACTCAGACGGTCCCGCTGATTTAGCAAATGCTGGGGAACACCTGAGCTGCCTCTTCCTCATATCTATTAAAATTATTAGATTATAACCTCCTAGATAAACGTAGAGAAATTAACAACAGAGTTCCAAGATCAGACTTGCTTTGAGCCTTTTATCTCTTAAGTTCTGCGTTCTAACCCAGCTTTTGCTGATACAAGCTCCAAACCTCACTGGTTACACAAGGGGCAAATACAAGGGGCAAAATACTCTGGGGAGCCAGGAATGAGTCACTAAGCCTTGGCCAAAGCCCTCCAAGCTCTTCCAGGAGTCTCCATCACCAGTAAGCTCCAGGTACACACAGTGGTGTGAATAATGAACTCTCTGTCGTGGCAGCAAGGCTGTGCATAGGTAAAGGGGTTATTAGAAACAGATGAAAATTTCAGTTCTCAGTTTATTTTGATCTAATTAGGTGCTTGCTTCTCAAGATAACGTCCAATTATTTAAATTACTCTGCCAGCCACATCACATCATTATTATCTGGAAACATAAATACCGGGCCCTCTGAGGGGGGAGGGCTGGCTAGGGAGCATCAGAGGATAGAAAAAGCAGATTTTCTTCCAGCACAGCTCTGCTCCAGGAGCTCCACCGCACTCCCCACTTGTGGGTTTGCACTGCAAAATGTGCAAAAAAGGAGCCCATGTCCCACAAACCTCAGCCCCACAGAGCACGTTGAGTTTTACACCCAACAAATCCAACCAGGAGCCTCACACTGCTGGTATCCACCCTCCATCCTTGCTCCTCCTCGCCCCTGTTCACCTCTGCCCTTCACTTCCACTGTCCCTCACACGTGTTGGGTGGGGAGGCATGAAAGGCAAACACCAAAAGGATCTGCGGGGTGGAAATAGAAAAGTCATGTGCTCACAGCGACCCAGAATCGACTGTGCAGGCAACATCACGTGGGTGGGGAGCCTGAGAACCTGCCATCAAAATTCCACGGCTCCAGCACAAGAGCAGCCTTGTTCTTACCAAAGCAGCAACGAGGGTGACAAAAATGTTGGGTCACTTGCTCATTACCCAGAATTACCCACTGTTTGTTAAAAAGCTGGATCGATTTTTGAAGGCTGAATCAAAAAGACAGTGGACAGCAGGTATTTACCACGGAAGAGCACTGATTTCCCGCCACCTGAAATACTGTGCAGGCCTGGTACAGGCATTTTGAAGTGGAGTTTTATCCTCCACACCTCTGACAACAGTTTTTAAAAAGTCTCTTGAAATCTTTTACCTTTTCTTCTCACTTCCTGAAGAAACTAATTCTGTAACAGAGGAGGCCTCTAAATGTTCTCTCCAGCGTGGCTGTGCAGGTGCCGTGCCCGTGTGTTGCCATTTCTGGTTGCTCACTGAAGTACAACCGTTCAGCGCCGTAGTAACCTGGCCAGCTCAGCGAGAGCACTGCCAAATATCCTCTCCTGTTGGCCAGCTGACAAGGTTAATGTGTCTCTTCCAAGAAAATGAAGTAAATCTAACCCCCCCTGCACCTCCCAAACTCCTGGAAGGGCCCCAGAACGCGTCATTAGCTCCGCGGTCCAGCTTGCAAGGAGCCATCACCTGACGGCCAGCGCTGGGCAGAGCTGGTTGTGCCGGGGCTTCCCGTTTAAACAGCCCCCTTTGTGATGATCCTGAGAGGGATGCAGTGCTGGGATGGGGGGGGGGACACACACGGGATTGAAATGTTGGGAAGGGTTCCTGATGTTTTTAATTGCAACAGGGAAGGGGGGGTGGGGGGGAAGAAGAAGCGAGGGCGAGAAGAAAGGGCTAGCAGCAAGGAATTTCCAAAGTGTCTTCCTGCCCCGAGCAAAGCAGGAACTGGGAGGAGAGGCATGGAAGAGGAGCTGGGAACAATATGCTGAGAAAACACAGAGGGGCTTCCTCTCTCTGCAGGAGAAGAACCCCGGTGTATTGCACAGCCAGTGCTTAGCAGTTGAGTGGTTCGAGCCCGCATGCCTTCTCTGCCCGGCCGCGTTGCTAAGGGGGAGAGTGCAACAAGCCCACCAGGGATATGCAGGTCCCTGGCAAACAAGAGGGCTCCAGACAGCAAACAAAGACCGATGGGTATTTATTCCTTAATTACGGAAAAGCTCTTCAGGAACAGACCACTGTAAATCCCGCCCGCCCGG